TATCTTAAAGGCACTTTCCGCGATAAAATAAGGCTATGACCTTTCAAATGTGTCAGACGATCCGGAAGGAGATTGCGGAGGCTGCGCTACCTTCAGAAAGTGAAAAACCGCAAGAATTCCGCTTCAAGCTAACCAATTAGGCTCATTGGCGCCCCTTAGGCCCATGCCGACCCCAACCGGCTGCTAGCTACTAGCTAGTAGCCACTATGCTATCTCTCTCCATTCCGAATGGTGAGAGTGAGGTGATACGATAAAAGAGCTGATATCTTTATGATAACGACGAGTGGAAATTCGTACAAACATGCGTTTTCTTCATTGCATGCATGTACAAGTTGGAGTCAATAGAATCCTATTTGGGATTCGCTGCTTTTTCTGCCTGATCTTCTCCCGCTAATCAGAACCTATCTCCTTTTTTGTTTCATGTGGGTTCCGTTGCCCACAATTCTTGCTGGTCAACGAGCTTTGCCCTTTAATTTTATACGAGAGAAGCCCTGTTGAGCTTTGATACCTACGCTTCACAAGCTTCACTTGATGGTTTATAGGATTTACACTCCTTCAGTCGACTTCGCATTGATGTACCATTTGGGCCCCCACCCCAACCAAGTTACTCTACTGTTGCCGTCACGTACTTACTCGTGGCAAATGTAGTTGTAGTAAACTTCCTACACAACCTGTATGGGTTTACTGCCGGAGAAACTTTTTTGAAGAGATGAAAGCGTAGACATGGTTGTTCTGCTGTTTCTTAGAGGTCTAGGCAAGCAGAGGATGAAAGTCGAATGTGTGGAGCCTTCTGGACGATTTGTTCTACGTGCTTCTGCGCCTTTCATACTCATCCTTCAGTAGAAGGTAAAAGAAAAACAACATACCAGCATTATGTGCCCTGTGTTGTACCATATTTCCCCGGCAGTATCCTCCGTGGCTGTAGAATGAGCCCTGAATACATTGTCCCCTTTGCGAAACACTTTTAGGATAGATAGAATTGGAAGTTTGAGAAAGGAGCTCCTTATTACCTTTGTATCGATGACAGAGCGAAGTCGAACTGTTGACAGGCGAAGCAGCACAGCCCTATGTTCATCATCAGTTCAGCGTTATTCACACCCATTTGCATGATTCGTCTGAAACAATTCGGAAGATTCGAGAATGGCTAAAGCTGCCAAGAAATACAAGCAAACAACACACAAATAGGCTCAGCATGAGTTGGCCAGGATAGTAGATAATGGCAATAGATTACGCAATAGAAAACAGTGAGATACCGTCTGTTTTTGCAACTGTTTAGAAATGGCTCACTCCACATTGGTTTTATGGGCGGAGCTAGTCCTAAAAGTGTGCCTCACTGGTATCCTTATCCTTCTTCTTCTCTCTCTGCCAGATATTAGGCTGGAGATTGCGCATGGTTGAACAAGCTAATGAGAGATAGGCGAACTGGTCAACTATTCTCCAAGTCACCGTGACAACTCCGGCAATCGGTATGAAAGGGGCTTTTGTGACATAAGGATAAAAAGGTAAAGTCTTCGCCGTTGATCAATCCCTTGTGGGATGCGGCACGCATTCTACTTCCATTCAGAATCGTAGTGGCTTATTGAATGCGATGTGGCCTATACAATGACTTGCGGTGGCCAGCCGATGTACAAGTCAGTGTTTTATCCTCCCAGACGAATCTGGTACAAGCTCACCATAGCTCACCTTCCCAGAGGGTAGAAGATTTGGTTGGCTAAGGTGGGAGGGAGTCGACCCGGGATTTGAACCCAGGATTGCATGAGTGGTAAGCGCCACATGTAACCACACCACCTCCGCCCAGGCCTCAATAAAATTGTACATTTCGGCACAATATTACAACCGAGCTTGGACGAGGCTTAACTCAATTGGCTGTCCGTATTTCCTTACCGGTAGTAACGAAGAGCGATTTCAGGCTTGTCATCATAAAAACAGTTGGTAGCTATGCACGCAATTGCTTCAATGTTGTTCGCCTGTACATTGAGAATCTTCTTGTAGCACTCGCTGGATTCGCCAAGTTCGCCGAGTAGCTGAAATACAACAATATCTTTCAAAAATATCGATGTTGTTTAATCAGTGTTGGCGACAAAGAGTACACTTCTAGTAGTACACTTGCCGCGATCATTTATGCACGGCCAAATGCGTTCATGTTCCTCATAACGCTGTGGGAATGCAAAGAGGTGGCCACGAGAACGAACCGATCTGCACGATAGTGACGCGCTACTTAACCTTTTTGGGATTCAGTTTTTGATGAGTGCGAGTCCAGCTATCTGACTGGGGATCTAACGTACTATAGGCAATCAGGGCCCCGAATGAATGGGAAAGAGAAGCACACAGGCATGATGGAGGATAATCTATAGCCGATTTCGTGGCAATCAGTCGGGGCGGTGTCAGGATTAGCGGAATGAGCCCGCCTCCGGCTGTAATTCTGCCAATAGTGATCAGTCAGTGATCGGCTTGGGAAGAAAACAACCAATGATGAAAACGTCGCTGGTGGGCTCATTCCATGCCACTTGGCAGTGCCTCGACTGATTGCGGCAACATCAACTGCACATCATCATGATTCCCTTGGTTTCATTGATCTTTACTTCAAAACATGTGAAGGGAAATATTATCTAGAAAATGACCGGTGAGATCCAAGAAATTGTCCATGGTGATCCTATGGGCACAGTCAGGTCCATCATTGTACCCTACTCCTTGTGGTCCTTTTCACTGCTTCATTGTACTTGTGGAGGCGCAAGAACGAGGAGGGCACATTCGCAGGACTGATGTCGCCTTCAGGATGCGCGTTTATAGTGTAATTCACTGCGGACGGTGGCGTGTCTCAGGTGCTGCTGCGCTGGCGCACGTGCCGCACCCGTTCTCCACAGTTGTTGAAGCGAGCAAGTGATATGACTGTATCATATCGTTCGTATTACTCGTTTTCTACCACTTTTTGTCGCATGCGCGCTTCAACAAGAAGGCAGAGAACGGCTTGACGGGGTGACACACTCATACTGCCTGACACGCCCAACCGTCCGCAGCGAACTAGAGTGTATATGAGTACCGTTTGATTCGTCTATTTTGAGGCCTGGCCTGGAACGGTGGAGCAGTGGAAGTCGCCTAGTCAAAACATAATATTCGATATTCTGCTGAAGCGCATGCTATTCTGAATACGATATCAACACCAAACCTCTTTATTTCTTGCTAATCCTGTTAGCAATGTGACGTCATCGTGGTAGAGCATGAGGCCCTGTTCATAGTACTTGTTCGCCACAAGAGGTTGATCGAGACGATTGTAAACCTGAAAAGAGAGTAGGCTTTCTGAAAGCCGCCAAGAAGAAAGTTTGCACTTCCTAGGTGTGCCCTACCTTTGCTAGATAGGCGTGAGTCTCAGGCAAGCGATGATTTTTCAAGGACGACAAGAATTGTTTTTCGGCGTCTTGGTGCAAGCCTAGCCTGGAAATTGTTGGATTGACCCATAATTTTTATCGGTTGATCAATAACCGCAAAAAATGATGTCTATTAGCCAGTTTCTGAGTGGTCCAGTTTTGAAGAAAAATTGTGTGAGTAATCTGTGGAGATTGGGTATGTTACAAGAGAATCGTAATTCGCCGCGCTGATGAGCGTCGCGTGTGACGTCGCACCGCAAATGACGATGGTTCCAGGTCGTAGATGGCGACAACAAGCAATTTGGAACCGAAAATAGTCATAAATGTCTACAGTTTCGTAGCCCACGTGAAATCCGGTGCTCCAATCGACAGGCTAACACGAATTAAGAAAACGCCGCGCCCATCGCCGCGCGCGGCGGAGCGACGAATTACGGTTCTCTTTCCCGTCTCCCTAGAGATTGACTACTCGCAAACGTTCACGATACCTCATGTAGCATTTGCCGAGCTGATTCTTCCAGTACCAATCCTCATAGTTGGCTGCCTTCGTCGCAACAGAGGCAATCTGAACTCAGTTGATACTAATGCATTATTCACTTGAAGGGAGGTGGGGGGGAAGGGGTGGGGAATAGCGGTAAAACAAATGTGCCTATTCTGACAACAATATAGAAAGTCACATTGAGAAGTGAAAGGAGATGAAAGGGA